AAATTAGTGTCACATTAGCTATCCTCCAGTCATCTGGTACAGAAGCTGGTTTAAATGATATTACATACCACAGTTAGTAGTTCTGCAATTTCACATTTGAGTTCTTTCAGAACTCATGGGTGAATGCCATCTGGTTCTGGTGACTTATTACTGTTTAGTTTATCAATTTGTTCCAAAACATCCTCTAATGACATCTCAATCTGGGACAGTTCCTCAGATTTGTCACCTAAAAAGAATGGCTCAGGTTTGGGAATCTCCCTCACATCCTCAACAGTGAAGACCGATGAAGAGAAACTAAATGAATTCTTTGCAATGGCCTTATCATCCTTCAGTGCTTCTTTAGCATCTCGATTGTCCAGTGGGCCCACTGGTTGTTTCGCAGGCTTCCTGCTTCTGATGTACTTAAAAAAAATTTTTGCTATTACTTTTTGAGCCTTTGGCTAGCTGTTCTTTAAATTCTTTTTTGGCCTTCCTAATTATATTTTTACACTTCACTTGCCAAAGTTTGTGCTCCTTTCTATTTTCCTCAATAGGATTTAACTTCCACTTTTTAAAGGATAAAGTCAAAAGATATTTAAAATACTAATTTCAGCACATAAATCTCCCATTATGAATACTTGAATCTCTTTGACATCCATATCGCCCTCTTCTAATCCATATAAAATACAGCTGCTAAGACCATCTTCCTTGTCTGACACACTGAACACATCACAACACTCTTCTAAATCTCTCCATTGCCACCTACCCAACCACACCACCCCCAAGTTACGAGGTAGATAAGTTCAACCTTCTTGCCCTCACCTACAAGGTTGTTCATAACTCATCTCCTCCTTGTTTGCCCATTCATCTCTTATTGCAGGGTCCCACCTGCTTATCTCCACTAATAATGCCAGTTTCACCTCCTGTTCATTAGCTTCTCACACAAACATTTCAATACTTTTTCTTCCTACTCCCCCCCACCCCGCCTCCATCAATGGCTCTCCACTGGTTTCTTCCATGTGTGTGAAGCTGTGGATGTGGACAATCCATTCACACAGACTCCCGCCCTCATTCATCATTCCCTTTATACGCGAATGACTTGAAAAATTTACCTCACTGACCAGGAGTAATTTCCTGGAGAGACACAAACTGCGCTTCCACAATTTCTGGGATTCCTTTCATCATGCTGTCCCTGGGCCCAGCTTTGGGATCCTATCTTTCAACTCAGAGGCCTGGTCCACACTACCCCCCCACTTCGGACTAAGGTACGCAAATTCAGCTACGTTAATAACGTAGCTGAATTCGAAGTACCTTATCCGAACTTACCGCGGGTCCAGACGCTGCAGGCAGGCTCCCCCGTCGATGCCGCGTACTCCTCTCACTGAGCTGGAGTATCGGCGTCGACGGCGAGCACTTCCGGGATCGATCCGGGATCGATTTATCGCGTCTAGACAAGACGGGATAAATCGATCCCAGAACATCGATTGCCTGCCGTCAGACCCGGAGGTAAGTGTAGACGTACCCAGAGTTGTCTGAACAATTTGAATTCTCCACTCCATCACTTAAAAAACCCTCTGGTTACTGGAGAGGGAAAGGAGCATTAGAGAGAGCCTCCTGGCTGCTGTGATGGTGGTCTCTGCTAATTTACCCCTCCTTCCAACCTCCAAATCCCCCATGAATAGCTTTAGTGCCTGGGCGCCTCTGTGTCTCCTACCCTAGCCTTCTGCAGCAGAATAAAATGGCCCTAATTCTTGTCAGTTTAAATCTTTTCCACAAGGTTTCCAGTAACAGTAGTGAAAACAGATAAACGTCTGATCAGTTTTCATTCTACTACATCTTGAAAATGCTGAGTAGCAGCAGAGGTACTAAAGCTGTATATTCAAGAGTGAATGTATTGCCCATTTTTCTATATCTGTGTAAGCACTACCATAAACAGGACTCACGTATTTTTACCACCACTTTAATGAAAGCTTCATATGAAAGTGCCTCAGCCAGTCTACACTAACATTTACACTACCACTAGCACAGGGAAACTACATGATACTGACAATCAGATACTACGTTTGCTAGTGTAAATTCAGGTAAACATTTGGAAGGTTATATTCTACCAACATGAAACAAGAGACTTGTTTTTAAGCTGCAAAAGTTAATGGTACTCACCTAAAAAAAAGCCTCCTAATCATCTCTCTCCCCTGCCCCAGTCCTGCCTGTAACATCTAACATAATAACAATACACTTCTATTATTAAACTGCCCTTATACAACTGAGTCCTTCTACCACCATAATCAGATATGCTCAAAAAAGGGAGTCTAAGATTGGTAGCTGAATGTCTAATATTACTCATGAGTTTCACAAGCACGTGTATGAGATGTAACATAATTCAAATCTTAATATATATTACCTTAATTTACTACTATTTGCATACTTCTAATTGTTATAGTTTATCTATAATTCTTGGTATTTATTTTTTGTAATGTTTCCTATTAAGGACTTGTCTACACTTGGAAATTTACCAAAATAACTACTCCAGAAGAGTTATTCTCGAACAACTTCCCCATGTGGACAGTCAGTCTGGAATAAGAGTGTCCCAAAATAAATCCATGTGGACACACTTACTCCACACTAAGAGTATGTCTTCACTACCGCCGGATTGGCGGGCAGCGATCGATCCAGCGGGGGTCGATTTATCACGTCTAGTCTAGATGAAATAAATCGACCCCCGAGCACTCTCCCGTCAATTCCTGTACTCCAGGTCGGCGAGAGGCGCAGGCGGAGTCAACGGGGGAATGGCAGCAGTCGACTCACCGCGGTGAAGACACCACGGTAAATCTATCTAAGTACGTCAACTTCCGCTACATTATTCACGTAGCCAAAGTTGCACAACTAAAATCGATCCCCGTCCCCCCCAGTGTAGACCAGGCCTAAGAGTGCCCACATGGGGAGTTATTCTGGAATAATTATTCCAGAATAGCTATTTGATACATTTCCAAAGACAAGAGCTTTGTTTGGCCATTTTAATTAAATTTGCAGTTTTTTGTCTGGGAATACACGTTTAACTTTTTTAGTCCATGATGCTTCAAACAGTTATACAGATGAGTAATTCAAAGGGATTACTCACATGCATAAAGATGTGAGTTTATGGGATTAAGTTCTAAGGGTTTAACTTAAAGGGAACACTCAGGAAAATTAATCCAAAATTAACTAAAGGTGTGAATTTAAAACAGATTTGTTTCATCACATTCAATCTCTGTGTGGACTCTCTTATTCAGAATTAAAGTGGTCTTAATTCAGGTTAGTTTAATTTACACGAGATTAGATTAACTACTGTAATTGGTGTAGAGACAGTCTCAGTATGTGCACAATACCTCAGACCATGCAGCCCCTGGGCACTACTTTAGTATAAATATTAAACATTTCAGCCAGACTCTTAATTAAATTGTGTTCAGCTCCACTGAATTCCCACCCAATTGTCAAAGTCATTCAAATTATCAATAAGGTCAGAATTTTAATGGTAATCAGAAAATAACACTGAAGGAAAATCTTCACAGATAAGCATTATTAAAATAGGTTTATGTTTAAAACTATTTATGTACAACTTTTCATACAGAAGAAAAAATCAAAAGGCACTCATCAGTTTTACATGATGTTTAAATGTCTAACACCTAATGATTGTTGTATGCATTTATTTCTGTTTTAGAAAAAATAGTTAAGTTTCTCCATATACAGAAATTCTCTCCTCCATATACTCAATATTATACAGCATTCAATTCCAAAAACCAAAGCAATTTTCAGTTAAGTGATGGTGAAAAAAAGTCAGACCACCACAAATAAAGTCAGTTAAATAACTGTATAGTTCTAATCCAGCTCTGTTTCATAAATATTTAATAATCCTTTGAGGATTTTTACCCTTCACAAACTCCACATTAATTGAAGTAACAAAAACACCTCTGGAGGAAAAAAAAACACCACTGCTCAGACAATAGCTCACAAAATGTTTTATGCTGAGAGATTTTTTATACAGTCCATCACTATATAAATATCAAAATACTAAGTACTAGCTTTGTTGTAGTGCTGCCGGTACTTTAAGTGGAGTACTTTTGTTTGTTCATTACAAAGCCCTTGATTCCCTGAGTGTATTTCACAACACAGGGCAGATAGAGTCACACTCATAAGGTCTTAGTTCCATACATCTCACACACAATACCTTTATGCAGCCTTTATAACCACAGAACACATTACAAACTGTTCAGGGACCACTTCACCCACTACTAAAAATCAGACACCGCTCATATGACACTCCTTGTTGTTTATGACATATTTGCAATTCACCCCTGGGGTTTCCCGGTTCCCATTACTGCAAGGAGGGAAAGCTGAAACAGACAGTTATAGCTATGTTTTACGTAACCCACACACACTAGTTTGTGCAAGCAGTGAGAGAGGAGGAGATAGGTGGGGGAGCAGGGATTTCTCTGCTAGTTTCCCGTGGAGTGGTGGAAACACTGATGGTGACAGGGGGGCAGGTGGGGGGGGGGGGGGAGGCAAGTACAGGGGACCAACAAAGAAGGATCTCCCAGGAGGAAAAGGGCAACAAGGGACCAGTAGAGTGGAGAATGTTGGTTGCTGGTGATGGGTTGGAGCACATGGGGATAAAGGCATGTAAGGCCCCCCACCACTAGTGAGACTTTAGAGAGTGGCAGGCTCCTGGATGGGGAGGGTTGTGCTTTGAAGGGGCCAGAAGGGGAAAAGGAGCCTAGGGAAGCTAAGAGCGTTAGAGGGGGCAACTACCTAAAAGGAAAAAGGTATTGAGGGGACGGCGGCAGACTAGCCAAGGTAATAGAAAGGAGGCAGGGGAAGGTATCCCGGAGAACTATGCACGGAAACAGCTCTGGGGGGCACAGAAGCATCGGGGGGCATCTAGGGTAGCTCTGAAGACGGGAGGGGGTCGGTGCAGGCGGCAAGATGGGCCCGCGGACCCGGCGCTGCCTGCCCCCCACCTCCCCGGCCCAGGGGGGCGCCCTCACCATGAGCACTTTGGCCGCGTTCTCCAGCTGAGCGATCACCTCAGGAGCCCCCCCCGCAGCCACGGCCGCCGCCATCATGGTCTCTCTTCAATGACGCGCCATGCGCTGCATTCTGGGACGAAGCGGTCGCAGAGCCAATCCCCCGGCCCGGCGGGGAAGCGCCCGGACCGAGAGTATCGGCGCCGACCTGCAGCAGCGTGACCGGCCGGAGCAGCGGGGGGACAGGCGGAAGCACCGGGCGTGACTGCAGCAAGAGCCAGCCCTCCACGCTCTCCCCCGGGGCGGGCCCAGGCCACGCGGCCACAGACGGGGGGGGCGGGACTAATGCAGGCCCAATACTGAGTTCGCCTGTTGCAGCACCGCCCAGGGCGAGAGGGGTCGCATCGCCTCGGGAGCTCAGCTGCGGTTTCTGCTTAACTTCGCTGGGGGTCGGCCGGCTGCAGCTCCCCTCTGACACCTGCTACACCGGGGTGGAGGGAGACTCGGCTCCCTGCACGCGCACCCCTAGCTTGGTCCGGCCCGAGGGGGCCGTTATTACGGCTCCCTCGACACACCCAGTAGGGGTGTGGAGCTCGATTTTCCACGCTTTTCAGCTACCGCTCTCCTCCTCCTCCTCTCCCCCCCCCCCCCCATAGTAAACTCAGTTTCCCCACGCACACTGCAGCCAGCAGCCTGGCTTCCTCCTCCTGTTGGCCAGCGGGCCACGAGTGCTCAACAGGAGACCCACAAACAAGTGGGGGAGGGTGAGCACCCTCCCGTGTTTCTAAATGGGGGAGGGGAAGTCCCAACTACATAGAGAAGGTGGCCCTGGAATGGAAAAGGGTGAGAACCTCTGCAAGAGGGAACTTGGAGTTCAGCTCTCTTCCATGCCTCTAACAGTGAGGCAGCAGCTCCCTAGTTACCTCAGCAGGGCCTTAGCTTTCTTCATCCCTTATACCAGGGGTGGGACAAACTTTTTGGCCCAAGGGCCACATCGGGAAACAGAAATTGTATGGCAGGCCATGAATGCTCACAAAATTGGAGTGCGGGCTCTGGGGTGGGGCTAGGGATGATGAGTTTGGGGTGTAGGAGGGTGCTCTGGACTGAGACTGAGGGGTTCAGAGGGTGGGGGGGATCATGGGTGCTGGAAGCAGTGCAGGTTCCAGCTGGGAGTGCATGTTCTGGGGTGGGGCTGGGGATTAGAGGTTTGGGGTGCATGAGGGTGCTCTGGGCTGGGACCAAGGGGTTTAGAGGGTGGGAGGGGAATCAAGGTTGGGGCAGGGGTGCAGGTTCCAGCTGGGAGTGCAGGCTCTGGGGTGGGTCTGGGATCGAGGGGTTTGGAGAGCGGGATGGGGATCAGGGCTGGGGCAGAGGCTCAGGGGGTGCAGGCTGCGAGCAGCGCTTACCTCAAGCGGCTCCTCAAGTAGTGGCATGTCCCTTCTCCAGCTCCTGCACAGCCAGGCAGCTCTGCATGCTGCCCCATCTGCAGGCACTGCCCCTGCAGCTCCCATTGGAGCGCATAGGAGCCAGAGCGGGGCCATGCCACAGATTCCAGGAGTCGCGTGGTGCGGCCCTGACCCAGCACATCAGCCGGAACAAGACCATGCTGCTGGTGCGACCCCTGACCCAGGGCCAAGCCACGTGGTGCAGCTTGCAGGCCAGCTTAAAATGGCCCACAGGCCATAGTTTGCTCCTCCCCCGCATACCCAGTCTGGAGACTCAATCTTTCCGCACACCACCAGGAGCAGTGCTGGTTACCTGAGGCGGTGCCTTTTACCAAGGCAGAACATAAGAATGGCCATACTGGATCAGGCCAGTGCCCCATCTAGCCCAGTATCCTGTCTCTGGCTAGCGGCCAGTGCATGCAACTAGACTACTATGCAGCAGAATAGTACATGCAACTAGACCACTATGCAGCAGAATAGTACATGCAACTAGACCACTATGCCTCCCAATGACTGCTCGTGCCTCATCCATGAAGATCCTGATACTATTTTGTTATTTAAGCTCACTTTCCTTCACATATCCATCCAATATTTGAAAACATTTATTTTTTCGTTGTGTAGATTGGAAAAGATTGACAAAAAAGAAAATAATGCACTTTGCCATCAGATGCATATCTCACATAGGTGGAAAGGTTTCAGAGTAGCAGCCGTGTTAGTCTGTATCCGCAAAAAGAACAGGAGTACTTGTGGCACCTTAGAGACTAACAAATTTATTAGAGCATAAGCTTTCGTGGGCTACAGCCCACTTCTTCGGATGCCCACGAAAGCTTATGCTCTAATAAATTTGTTAGTCTCTAAGGTGCCACAAGTACTCCTGTTCTTTTTATAGGTGGAAAGGTTTTCACTGGAAAGCAAATCAATGTTTAGTCAAGCTGTATTACAATTAAATGACTACTCCAAACTTGAGAGAGCACGTTCTTTCATATTTTCAGCAATGTTGGAGAGTCTTGTTAATTCTGTATTGTCTAACAATGTTAATATGGCCAACTGTTTGCTTGTCTTGACATCAGACGCCAATGATGCCGCTTCTGCTGCTAGAAAAAAGAAACTCTTCTCTATAGTGATATTTCCCTCCTTTTGTGATGTAAAGACTCACAAGATGAGATGTCTTCAAAGCTTGTGGACACTGGATGCACTTTTATTTCTGGCTATGTTGCTCTGTAAACTTGTGCAGAAAAAAAAATCACGCTTGTTTTTCAAGTAAGAATGTTTGGTCTCAAATTAACTGGAGGGATTGGGGTGAGGTTTTCAGTGTCCCACACTTCACAGCAAATAACTTTGGTGTGATACTCATCTAGATATAGTCCACATATGGCTCATTTCCATGTATTTGCCTTCCTACTTTCTGACAGTCCTTCTCTTAGTTCCTTTTCCCCCCACAGCTGAATATACTGCTGTCACAGTTCAGGGCAACTGCATCTGTATTTCCCCTCATTGGTCTAGCAAGGGCACTCTCAGGCTTCCAGCTGTCACCACGTATCACTCCCTTCTGACCAGGGTATTTCCAGGCTGCACAGTTCTCTGCCTTCACTATTATTTCCATCACAGACAGGCTACCCAAGCACACCTGCTTGCTTTCTCTTCAGAGATGGTTAACAGGTATAATTGCTACAGTTATATGTTACCACACAGTTCTTCCTATACTAGCCTATTTTATTCTTAAGGAGAAAACATTACAGAAAAAAACACATTAAAATCAACAAAGGAACCTGCTAATAAGCTTACTGGGATTCCCTAACATGGGCTTTGGCAGGAGCAGTCCAAATCCCAACCGAAGGGCATTCCTCATGGTTGCAAATTCATCACAGCTTCAGCTCCGAATGCATACCTAGTCTTATGGGGCCTCAATAGGTCCAGTCTTTCCAACCCTTCCTTCCATGGACCAGGGGTCCTGTCTGTTTGCCCTTAGCCAGTTTAAAATCAGGCCATTTATCCAAAAATCCTTTCTTTGTCTGTTGGTCCCTGGAGAATCCAGTTTGAACTAGTATATGTGAACCTCTCCAGGGGAGAGGCTTAAAAGAGCTGATAAAAGAAGTACAATAACATTCCCCTCCTACTAAAGATGTTCAGTGCCACAGTAACACACACACAATTGGATTTTTAATACAATGTATTCCAAAGCCATTAACCCTAAATCAATATGGATTAATTTAATTCAATAAGGTCTATCTTAATTCCCTACGGTTTGTTTGGGATATTACAGGATATTGTCAGTCTGTCACAACATTGTCATAGCTAATACTAGGCCCTGTCTTGGTTGGTTCTTTCTCCTTGGCACTTTGGCTCAAGCTGCCAGACTGTGACCAACAATTCATGATAAGACACAGAATCATGAATGAGCTGCTACAAATTGGAGGCCTCCTATTTGTACAGGCAGTAGGAAGCAGCAGGGAGAAAGAGGGGCTCGTAAAAGTGCTCTTGAGGAAGCTGATAAAAGGAGTGGTTGAGCACAGGAGAAGATGAGACAGGGAACAGAAACTCAACAGGAAAATTACACACTGGGATGGGGGGAGTAAGAAAGGCAGCTGCAGGGATGGGAGGGCAGTGGAGACAGGTCACTTCAAGTAAACTTTCTATCCCAGACTGCTTCCATGCCCACCTCCCACAGCTACCCAGCCAGTCTCTGATGCCTTGCTATTAGTATCCCAAGCATAGTCATTTCCCTTCCCTGCTCCTGGTGAGTACCCGCTAATTCCCCTCCTCTGCTTAGCTTCTCCTTTACCTAACTCTAGGGCTCTTTTAGGAGCCTCCCCTCATATAAATAGGGGGCTGCGGTCCCCAGGCAAGCATTTTCGCCTCCTCTCCTAGGCAGGGTTCCTGCTCTGGCCTTATTGTTTCCCCCTCACATCTCCCACTTCCCAGCTCCTTCTTCCTCCAGCCTAACTTTCCCTGAAATACCTTCTGGTTCACTGGTGGTGGCTTCCTCAGTACTTCTCTTCCTGAATGCCTCATCATGCTGCTCCCTCTGCAGTGTCTGCTCCTGCAGTCAGTCCTTCAGTAGCAATGGCTTTAGGATGGTGGCTCCTGTGGTAGCTGATCCTGTTCCAGCAGCCTGGCACCAGTCACCCCATGAAGCAGCTCCCACTGACAGCGGCAGCAGCAGTTCCTAGGTCAGTGGAGGAGGTGGCAGCAGATCCCTTTATTGAACAGCACAATTCCTTCAGGCATCCAGACAGGAGATGGGTGCAGGCCAACACATTAGATGGCTGCCCAGCTCCTCTATTTCTCTAGGAAGAAGAGCCTCTGTCAATGTGCCACTATACAGCAGAGCTGTCTGAGAGGGACCAGGGAATGCTCACTGAGTGGCAGTTAAACTGCCATAACTGTTTCTTGATGAAGGGGGGGAGGATGTGCTAAGACCCATCTTTCTCTGTGGAAGGGGGAGTTCAGGAATGTGTTGTTGAGCACCCACAGTTTTCTAAGGCAGGCTGAGTCTTCAGACATAACAACATTGCAGTGTCTATTGCAGTAATATTCAACTTAAGGATCTTGAGTCACAGGTGATTTCTCTTAGGCCATCCAGTGGCTCTCTTCTCATGTATGAGAAAAGCATCACAGAGCATCCTGATGTAGATGCAGGGGTAGATGTAGATTACTCCAGAAGAAAAAAAGTCAGTTTAAAACACTGGTGGACAGAGCAGAAAGACAGAAGTGGATAGCAGTAATGCGGCTAGAATCAGACTTCTGGAATCTCATGACCGACTTC